TGTCACGTTGAACCCAAGGTAAACACACGGCTGTTCAAAGATTCCGGGGTGTCCCAGTACAGGATCTTGTGTGTAGATTTTAAGGTCTTTTTTACCTAATCATTTTTGTCTTTTGCTATTTATGGTCCAGTGTATATTGCATCAATGGTAAACTTATCATGCTGAAAATAATAAAAAATTTGTATGTAAGGGGAGTTGAAATATTTAAGGATTGAATTATTTTATTCACAAAGTATAAATGAAGTTTATTCTTTGATATCTCCCTCTACATTCCAAATCATGAAAGGGTTTGATCTACTGTTACATCTTGGATTGCCTGAAGTTTTAATAGCAGCTCAAAGAGACTACTGAAATGGTAATCAGACCAATGAGACTCGTTATTCCCTTGTGTTTTCTTTCTTCATCTCCCACGACCTTGACAACTAATATCTCTGCTGTCGCTAGTCCTCGGGCTGTTTTTGGCTTTAGACTTCAAACCAGTGGGAGCGGGTTCCTGTGGCTTGGGACTCCTGCCTGCAAGTGTTCATATCGTGTGGTACTTGTTGGTGAGCACAGTGCTGATTGTACATCTTACCTCCCGGGACAGCATGGTTAGCTGTCTTGATGTTTCATGTTGCTAAGAAAAGGGAGATGTGAGCACTGACTGTTTTGTGGAAAGTGTGAGGTGCCCCTGGCCTTGTAGACCTGAAAAGGCCAGCAACACTGATAGCACTGTTTCCCAGTGAAGAGTCAGGTGTGACTGATTTTAGGCCATTAGGCCTTATCTTCAGTGACCTCCTGAAAAATATGTCAGCTTCTAGGTTTGGTTTTTTCTTTCTGGGTAGTTTAAGCAGCACAATTCTGTGGTAGTCTCGAGTTCTGTCATCCTGCCTCATGCTCACACCAGGTACTTCCTCGTCACTTACTGCTTTCAGTGGGATTTCTGTCTACAGAGACAAATATGGCAGATATACTCTGGTATTCACATTTTTGGAACTTTTCATCATTGCTTCCAGACCATTCTATAATCTTCTAGTTCTTTAGAATGTGTCTTAGTATCCACTTTTTCTTAAATTTGTCTGTGTTGTTCATTGTTAACCAGTATGTACTGTTCTTCATTTTAAAGAGAAGTTATAAGTATTTTTAAAGTTTATGTGGTGTGTCGGCACCACAAGCACCCGCAGAGGCCAGAGGGGGAGTTGGCTCTCCCGAATTGGAGTCCTGGATGGTTGCAAGCTGCCATCCATGGCGGCAGTCAAACCCAGTTCCTCTGTAGGAGCAGCCAGCGCCCTTAACCACTGAGCTATCTCTGCAGCACTGCCTGTGCTTTTATATGCCGTGTTTTACACACTGTTCTCACTTATTCATTTCCCGTGTGTTTCTTCTCCAAAGTGAAAAGCCTCTTACTGTCAGAAACAGCCAGACTCCATGGGCTATCCCATTCTCTCTGTGTCCTCATTACAGTGGCCTGGATTTGTTGTTGTCCACTCTGGTGTCTTTTCAGCATTCTCTAATAATAGCAGTTGCCTATACAGAGGGAGGAAAGTGGTAATGTGAGGTTCACATCTGCTATCCCAAACTGCTTTCTGTGTATATCCTATAGCAAGGTCATTATGTAGCTTTTAATCCACCTTTTGATATTTTGAAGGAGATGGAAGAGTAATAAGTCCTTCGCCACGCAATAAGTCATCATGCATCTCATCCACAACTAACGTGACAGAACTCTGTGGGCTGGACATGAAAGCTGCCACCAGCTCCCTGTCAGCATTCGGAGACTCTTCCATTCAGACACCTTCCAAGCCCAGAATCCGGCAGGGCTGTCATAGTGCTGGCCCCAATGTTTCGGGTAACGAGGGGCTATCATGTAGCGTATCCTGTAGTTGGCGTGTAGCGTCAGGATTCAGCACTGTAAAGGGATAAAGAGAGCCAGAGTGCTTCCGGAGTTTTCTGCTGACCTGCAAGGCAAGGGAAAGCTATCTGGCACCCACAGAGCACAGAGCTGAGGGTTGAGAAGACGAAACAACCCCAGCGTAATAATCGGCTTCCAGTACTGACGCTGTGGAAACGTCTAGAAAAGATATCTGTAGGCTCCAAAGAACTTTAATACAGTGGCTCTGGTTTCACAACAGTTAAGATTTGCCTTAACCAGGAATGTGTGTATTGTTTTCAATAGGTGATCACATTAATCTGGTGACCTCATCGATGCCGTCATTTCCTATTCTCCAGCGCTCTTCTGAAGAGAAAATTCTTTACTCAGACAGGCTGACCCTGGAAAGGTGAGGACGTCTTTTCAGACGTCTGTCTCTCCTGTTTGCTTCCCTCAGGTGTCATCATCCCAAGGGTGACTTTCTGTGGCCACCTTCTCCCCAGACACAGTCCCTACGACCTATCTCTGCTTTATCCCCTGCCTAGTCCTTACTGTCCTCTAACACGCTAACCTCGTGTGTTTATTGTGGTGGCCTGCTAGAATAGAAGCTTCACAAGCAGCGACTTTGGTTCAGTTGCGTGTCTTGAGCACCTACAACAGAGCCTGGAACAAAGTGGGTTCCTGATAAAATGGTGCATAAGGGGTGAACGTAAAGGCTTGGTGCCCGTCTTTATACAGGAAGAGAGCTGTGTCGGGTCAGCGGGTGTTGGACCGATAGAACAACTCTGCCATGCACAGCTGGCCTTCTCGTGGTGCAGCTGACGGAAGGGAGAGGCCCTGTTGTGTAGGCAAGGTCAAGTTGTGGAGAACGTCTCATGGCAGCTGTAGAGAGTGTGTGGTTCTGAGATCCCATCTCAGATACTGACTTACATTTACACTTTTCCCAGTAGGGTTTTAATGTTTGAAGGGCTATGTAGGAACTCTCCCTTCTGTCATTAAAGACACAGCAAGACTAGTTGCTCAGTCTCGTGTCGCTTGGTATTAGCAGGAGCTCTGCTTGTAAGACTTAGGAAATTCAGTGTTGACCAGGGTGGCTTGGGCAACTTTAGAGATGAGTTTGTGGTAGCATGAGCCTCTAGAATAGAAAAACCAGCACTGATCAGTAGACACTTGCTTATCAAAAAAGTCAGGACAAGGACACAGCTGTCCTTCAGAGGCTGGCTCTGAGATAGTGGCATTACAAAGATGTCATAAACTGTCATACGTGTAGTCAAGAAAGTTGGGCCAGCAGCAGAGAACCACCTTGGGAAACCTAGTAGTGATTTCTGCATCGCTGTGTGGCTTCTTAGTTAGGGACTGAGTGTTCAAGAGAAGAGTCTACCCCAAGAAGAAATACTTGGCCCTTATGATAGGAAAGGAGGCCTGAAATCTTTCCCTGCTCAACGCCTAGGTGCACAGACATGCTAGTATTTGACAGCGGAGGCAGGTGCTGACTCAGAATCTTCCTCACTCTGTTTTCTTCTAGACAAAAGTTGACTGTGTGTCCTATCATCGATGGGGAAGAACACCTTCGCTTGTTGAACTTTCAGCACAATTTCATAACTCGGATCCAAAATATTTCTAATCTACAGAGGTTAATATTCTTGGACTTATATGATAACCAGATTGAAGAAATTAGTGGTCTTTCTACTCTGAAATCCCTCCGCGTCCTGCTATTAGGGAAAAACAGGTATTTGTAAAGCAGTTTCTCTGTGTGTGTGAGTATGTACACGTGGTGTGCGTGTGTGCGTGTGTGCGTGTGTGGTGGAGGGATATACGCACACCTGGCTGTGCTGGCGCCCACAGTGCATGTAGAGGAGGACCTTGTGTCCCGCTCTGCCGCTCTCTGCCTCTCTCTGCCTCTCTCTCTTGAGGCAGGCCTCTCTGAACCTAGAGCTTGCCTTTTGGGTGTGGGGGTGTACTAGACTGGCCGCCAGCGGCCCGGCTGTGCTCGTTTGACCTCTGCAGTGCTCTGGACACGGCTCCACCAGCTTTTATGCGGGTGTTGGCGATACAGGCTCAGTTCTCTGTGCTTGTGGAGGCAGCTCTCTAGCCGCTCAGCTGGGAAGCAGCTCTTGCCTGTGGCCTGAGAGCATCTTTCTCGTGCTCAGGGCCAGGTCAGAGCAGAGCAATCCTGCAGGCGTCATTAGAGGAAGGACCGGGGGAAAGCGGTGGCCCAGGTTCCCACCACGGAACAGCATACCAGCCCAGCATGCCTGAGAGCCTGGCTTGGAGTTCTAGCACTGGATTTGTTCTGGGGGATTCAGTCTGACAGTCCTGTTAGCATTGCTCCCGTGCCATGATGTAACTAAAAGGGAAGGGAAGAGTCGGCTTTGACTTTATGGTTTTTAAGGATGTGTTTTAAGCATGCGTGCTCACTTGAAGCTTGTGTTTCATCTGCCCTTCTTGCTAGTGTTTGCCTGAGGGGGACATTTGCTACTTTGTGACTGCCAAATCAGTGCTTGGTTCTTTTTCAGAGAGTAATTTTTGTATGTGTTATTTAAAGATTTGTGTATGTTTTGATACTATGTAAAAATGTGTGTTTTTTTGAGTGTGTCTCTGCACCCCCTGTGTACTTGGTGCTGGTGGGGACGAGAAGGCGGTAGATGCCTGGAGCTGGAATTCAGGCCATCCTGAGCTGCCTCATGTGGGAGCTGGGAACCACTCCCAGGTCCCATGCGAAAGCAGCAAGTGCCCTAAACAGAGGAGCCATCCCCCACCCTCAGCATGCTTTAGTGTCGCATCTGGTCTGCACTGCCCTGGCTCCTTTTCCATAGCGCTGTCAGCAGTAGCGACACAATTCTTGACTCATGGATAGTACGCATGACTTTTCATTCAGTTTTTCCAAGTAGCTTTTTAAGACCTTAGAAGAAGGATTAGCAGAGTCATAAAATTAGTAAGTTTGCTTTTCCCCTTTAAAAGATTTGTGGCTGACACCCTGCTAATAAGGAGCAGTTTGTAAGGGAAGATCCTAACAGGTTTGTACAGCTTAGGTGACGGGTGGCCTTCAGATAAGAAGGCCCAAAGGAAGACATTAAAGTTTCATTTGTCCTCAAAGGTTTGATGGCTAGTGGGCAGCCCTAGAGAGCCGTGGCTGGACAGAGGGGTCCGATCCGCGGTGGGAACCTGGGCCGCTAAGCATTGCCCATTCATGCATGTTCCTCTCCTGTCTGTTAATCCCCATTTCTCGTTGCTTACGGTAGGACTCATCTGAATTGAGAGTCTTATGATGGACTCCCAGGGGGTGTAGGCCAGAAGGGGTTTTTGTTTTGTTTTGTTTTGTTTTGTTGTTGTTTTTAGTTATGGCCTTAGGGTAAAATGGTGGGAGGAGGTCAGTGTGACCTTCCTGCTGCTCCAGTTTCCTTACTTTAAATTCAGCCCAAATTATGTAATATTCAAAGTGCTGTGTTTGGAAATGTTGTGTTCTTAGGTCATGTCCCAGAATTTTAGAATCTTATTTTCCCTGAAGTTTCTATCAGTGTAGTTTATTCGTTCAAATGTTGTGTTAAGAATTCCACTAAAAAATGATAGAGTTTGAGGGGCTGGAGAGATGGCTCAGTGGTTAGGGGTGTATACTGTTCTGGCAGAGGACTGCAGTTCATTTTCCACTACCCACATCAGGCCTGCCCTCCACATAACTTCAGCTCTAGGGGATCTGGTGCCCTCTTCTGGCCTCTATGGGCACTGTACTCACTTGCTCTCACATATAACACACAATTGAACATAAAAATAAAAGAAAAAAAAGTAAAGTTCCACATAGTTTGAGATAATCTGGGAAATTATAGAAGCATGAATATGAAAATTTGAAGTGACCTCAGAAAAAAGTCCTTTCATTTTAGGGTGTGGAAATGGAGATGTGAACAGACCTGGCAGAGTCAGACTGTATAAACAGGCAGTCACCACCCGGAGAGCGTGTCCGGGCAGCTCGCTGAGCCGTGAGGCGGGAATTCCTTTCCAGATCTCCATGCTGACGCCCACACGCATGGCTCCTCTCTGGTTCTCTGAGTTATTAGTGTCTATAGCTCACATTTATCCTTTAGTATCACTGTCTGAAAGTCTGCCTTGGTCATCCTTAGGTCCAGATATTTTCTAGAGATAGCTGTGATTCCATCTCTCATTTTAAACTATTCAAATTCTGGTTGCATTCAGTTAGAATCATCTCTCTCTTCTTTCTGCCTGTTTCTATTGTCAGTTTCTCAGAAACAATGTGTTTATCTTGACCTAAACATCATTGTTTCGGCTTTATTAAAGTTCTTGGGGTTTCCTACTCAGAGGAACCTAATGCATCTGCTACATTCTTATTTTGCTTCGATAGAAGCAGTCTAATATAAACTCCTCCTTCTTCTCTTCGTTCTCCTTTGTCTTTGCTTCCTCTGGACAGCTGTCCTTTGATTTTCACGGAAGCAGATGCTGCGGAACAGTGGTTGAACTGCTAGGGCATGTGAATCAAAGGAAAATGTGTCACAAGAAAACTTGCTTCATTCTCCAGGATCAAGTGTGCCTCAAGCACATACACCTGTGATTCCGAAAACAGCTGCCAGTGCTGGTTGGCCAGGCATCCTGTGACCAAAGGCTTATGGAGAGCCCTGGAAAGCTCTGGTGAGCAGAAGGGAGCTGACTGAGCACCCCCAAGCTGTGTCTTGTGGTAGCTTTCTGCCCCTGTTGGTCAGAGCAGATTTCTCCAGCTTCTTCTGAAAATCACTAGGGCCATGGAACCAGGGCACAGGAGCTTCTAAGTTCAGGGCAGCTTCTTTGGTGCCATGGCCTTTATTCAGCTCTATTTCTCAAGAATCTCCAGCCCTCCTATCTGATAGCACAAGAGGATCTGACAGAATGGGCTCAGCCGCTCCTCCAGCACCCCTGAGGTCAGATCGCTGATGGAAAGCATGGCTCTGCCTAAGCCATACAATTCAGCTTCTGTAGCTTTCTCTAAGTGTTCTAGGTATATCAGGAGCACAGCAAATGCACAAACAAAGTGAAGAGAAAAATCATCGAAGCTTTGTCTGTTCTGTCTATGTTACTATCAACCAGCCAATTACATGTTAGCTAGGATGGTACTGGTTGCAGGAAAAGGCTTTTGAGTCCACAAGGATGCCCGTTTAGTCGGATAGTGTGACATGCCCTGCCTTCAGCGAGTTCACAAGGATGAGGCGAATTACGTATGCTTGTAAGGCAGTGTGTTTTCCAGGAAAAGAACAGATTCTGAAGTTTTAGGTGAGACAAGTAAGGGGGTGTGGGAAGTGTGAGAGGTTGAAGGGAGAAAAGAGCTACCAGCATGTTGCAGTGCTGCCTGGTGGGAGAGGAAGAACGTTTTTATCAGGAAGATGGACTTAATTGGGCGGCGGTGGAGGCTTTTGACTCAGGCAGTGATGTCAGAGGCTGAGGTCTGAAAGCGGCAGTCATTCATGAGGGTTACTTGAGCACTATGCTAGCATGACGGAAACATTGAGGAATGTGGACGTTGTTCTTTGAGACGATAAATACTGACAGACGATAAGTACTGCTAGACCCTTAGTGGTAACAGTGAGATTTTACGTCATTTTTCTTCTCCCTTCTGAGTAGTTACCGTGTGAATCTGTGGGATCCATGGGAACAATGAAAGTAAGAACCTTTCATGCTAAGAGAGTGCTTGTGGGCACCAAGGCAGGTGACAGAGCTCTCTGGGCAGCGGTGAGGAGAATGTGGACAGACCTAACCAGCAGGGGAGGCTTCACTTTAGTAATGAAGTTGAATTTCTTTTCTTTTGTTTTTCATTTTAAAACATCATCCTACTCTGTTGCCCCAGGCTGGCTCTGAGTTTCCAAACCTCTGGACTCAAGGGATCCTTTGGCTTTAGACTTTTACACAGTTGGGGTGAGAGACATGTGCCACTGTGCCTGGCACTCCCCTCCCCCACCCAAACACTTTGACCTAAGGTTAGGCGTTGAATTGCTTTTCTCTAAGATAAGACATTTGTGCATCTTTCCCAGTAGCAAGCATCTGTTATGTATGTCATGTATGGAGCGGGGAGCAAGAGTTTAAATATTGAATATTAAAATGAATAAACCTTCCTACCTCAGCAGGCATTGCCGGACTCATAGATGTGAAGCATTTGCATTTCCATTAAATTCTGCTTATTTTGATTTTCAGAATCAAGAAAATCTCAAATCTGGAGAATCTAAAAAATTTAGATGTCTTGGACCTTCATGGAAATCAGGTACTGTACAGCTCTTTCCTTCCTCCCTCCCTTTCTTTCGTCTCCCTCCCTTCCTCTCTTCCTGCCACCTCCCTTCCTCTTTCTCTCCCTCTCTTTCTTCTTCTTTTTCTTCTTCCTTCCCTTCTTCCCTCTTTACATCCCGCTCTCCCCAGCTTCTCCTTGAATGTCTCAGCACATTTTATATTATAAATGTTTCAAGAATGATGCTAACATTAGGCAGTAAGAGTTACTTTCTGGATTCATTGACTGTCTCAGGTCTTCAGCATATTGGCGCAGGGTTTCCTAGTTTCTCAGAAGTCAGCGACATGGTAGTCTCTGGGGATCTAGTGATGGCAACTTGTACATGGGCGAAACGCTCACGTGAACTGTGGTCTTCCTGACTCCCTTCTGCCTCATGCCTCTCCTTCATCCTGCCCCTGGCTTCTACATCAGAGGTCATCTCTGTCCTGGATTTCATGACCATCATGCTTTTGTGGTTTAATTAAATTTTTTAGAATTAATTTTTATGTACATTGGCGTTTTGCATACATACATGTCTGTGTGAGTGTCGGATCCCCTGGAACTGGAGTTACAGAGAGTTGTGAGCTGCCATGTGGGTGCTGGGAATTGAACCTGGAGCCTCTAGCCACTGAGCTGTCTCTGCAGCCCCTTTCTGGGGTTGAAAGCTGATTTTGCGCAGTAAGGAGTTGGTATTGTGTCTTGCGGCGTGCTTAGTTGGTTCTCTACGGAGCAGAACTGATGCACTGTGTAATGACACATAGCGGGAGTTACCTGAGGAGAGAGCCCTCAGCCGAGAAAATGTTTAAGAGCCAGCTGTGAGGCGTTTTTCTGGTTAGTGACTGATGTGGGAGGGTCCAGCCCATGGTGGCTGGTGCTGTCCCTGAGCGGGTGGTGTTGGGTTCTCTAAGAAAGCAGGCTGAGCAAGCCATGAGGAGCAAGCCAGGAAACGGCACCCCTCCATGGCCTCTGCATGAGCTGCTGACTCCAGGTTCCTGGCCTGTTTGAGTTCCTGTCCTGGCTCCCTTCAATGATGGTCTACAATGAGGAAGTGTAAGCCAAATAAACCCCTTCCTCCCCAAGGTTGCTTGGTCAGGGTGTTTCATTATAGTAAAAGAAACCCTAAGACTGTGTGTGTGTGTGTGTGTGTGTGTGTGTGTGTGTGTGTGTGTGTGTATGTGTGTGTGTGTGTGTGTGTGTGTGTGTGATTTATTAAAATATCTCACACAGTATGGTTCACATAGTCCAACAATGACTATCTTCCATTGCTCAGCCCACAATGCTGGGTGTTTCAGCAGTCCCAGTCTGGTGCAAAATCTTGGCGATTCTGAGAGAGCTGCTTGCCTTAAATTTACAGTTGAAGCCCAGAGAATTTGGTTCTCGTGTCAGTGCAGGGCTGCTGCGGCAGCAAACCTGTCAGCAAGAGCGAGGCCGCAGGCAGAAATCGAGGCCTCCCTCCTCCGTGTCTATTTACCAGGGCCGCCACCCCAGTCAGGGTGGGTCTGCCCTCCTCAAGTAGGTGGATCAAGGGATCCCTCTAGAGCTCATCGGCTTGCATTTTAGTTGACTCATTGACTTGCATTTTAGAGTGAAGAGAGGTGCTACCAGTGGAGGGAAGTCAGGACAGCTCCCAGGGTTTTGATGCCAGGTCCAATCTGTGCTCACTATGCTCTCAACACAAGGTGGGGAGGGAGTGTGCCTTACAGATGCTGCCGTGGCAGCCAGCGAGAAGCCTGCGTGGCAGCCAGCAGGTTGTTAAGGTAACCGCCCACTGTTTCAGCTTTTTCTCCAGGTCATTCTGTTCCAGGTAGCAAGTGAAGCCAGGATTGGCAAAATGCAGCAAGACAGTGCTTTACGAGAATCACTAAATACATCATTATCTGATATTGATTCTTTCTACCTTATTCTACCTCATTAGAAATTAAAATTACTTAGTGAACATACTGTTCAGCACAGTTGTCTTACGGATATAGAAGTGTCTTGAGAAGGGACTGTCCTGGCAAGAAATGGATGGGAGAGTGGAAGGAGATGGGGAAGTGATGTCTTAGTTTTCTTTCTGTCGCTGAGGTAAACACCGTGGCCAAACCTGCTGGAGGTCGGGAAGGGCGTATTCCAGCCTAAAGTCTGTAGTCCACGAACAGAAGTCAGACAGGAGCCTGCAGGCAGCCACTGAAGCAGGAACGCAGGAGTGCTGCTTGCTGTTCTCTCTGTTACTTGCTCAGCCTGCTTTCCTACAGCAGTCAGGACCAGCTGCTCAGGGATGGGGACACACTCAGTGGCTGGGCCCTCCCACTTAGCCAATCCAAAAAAAAAACCTAGAAGACTTCCCTTCAGGTCATCTTGTTGGAGGTACTTCCTCAACTGATGGTTTCTCTTTCTTGATAACTCTGGCTTGTATCAAGGGGATAAAAAACTGAGCAGCACAGGGGAAACAGCAGTCACAACAATCTCATGATGGGAGCATGTTAGTGCTAGGTATGTGGCAAGGGGACCCAGATTGAATAAAGATTTCAAAAGTGGAAACGTCAAGACTTAGCCTTCTATATGAGAGTGGTGGTGAATGCAGAGGAATCTGGGAGATTGGCTCTAGTTTCGAGTCTAGATTTTGAACTGGCTTACCAGATTGTGTGCTTCTCAGGATGCTTTAGACAGGTACAAATGTGCTCAGTTGTGCTCTTTCAGCGAGAACACCTCCTCCTGTGGTGGCAGACACCGCCCCTTCCTTATCCACAGGTGGAAAAGCTGTCCGTATCCACACACCGGAACACACAGCTGCCCGGGTTCAGAGCCCTGGACTCCAGTCAGTGTGGCTCACAATTAGGTTTTCCTAGTCAACGTTCCCATCATCGTCTTGTGAAGCAGGTCAACAGACCATTGTCTGCGTTTGCATACCATTTGCCTAAAGCCCTGCCACTCTCTCTGTGTCTGTGACTTTGTCCACAGCTGAGAGAACAGCTGGCTGTGTCACCATCGCTATGGCTGATGGAGTTGTGCGAAATTAGACAACATCCCTAGTGATAGTTTTCCAAATGTATAGATTCAGGAGGCTGAAGAGATGGCTCAGTGGTTACAGAGGACCTAGGTTCAATTTCCAGCGCTCTCATGGGCCACAACCATCCATAACTCCAGTTCTAGGGGATTCAGTGCCTCTTCTGACCTCCACGGGCACCAAGCGCACACGTGGTACACATACATACGTGCAGCATTTTAAAGTTATAGACTAATGCTTATGTACAGTAACTAACAGTGCTTTCAGAGTGGCAGTAACAGAACCCCAAGGGTATATGAGGAATTGGCATGTTTTCTAAAAGGAGTGTTCAGGAGTCTAAGCAGAAGGGTGAAGAAATGCTGTACATGTACCTTAGTCAAATTTGTTCACTAAAACAAAATACCCGGTATATACTACTTGAGGAGAAAAGAAACGTTTGCTTTTGCTCACAAGGGTTCATATCCAAAACAAGATGGCAAGATGGGCTTCTGGCCAAGCCAGAAAAAATCACTAGAGAAAATATCCTCATCTTGAACCAAGAAAGAGAAGGCAAGAGGAGGCTGAGATCCCATAATCCCCTTCAGGGGCACACCCCAGTGACCTAATGACCTTTCTCTAGGCCTTACCTCTTAATACTCATGGCACCTCCCAATATCTGCACCCTGGGAAACAAGCCTTTCTGTGGGGACTTGTGGGGCACACTGACCACAACCAGAGTAACTCATTTTTTCTGAGTCCCAGAGAGTTTCATTTTGTTTTCAAACATGGCTTTTTTTCCTGTCAAATTATAGTTTGTGTCTGTCTCCATACCACATTTCTTTCACTGTCCTGTATCTGCTTTTTCTCTGTATTTTGAGAGTTTTTCAAGCTTGTGTTTACATTACTGATTTTCTTTTATATAGTCTCTGTTGAAATTTTATTAAATCCATATATTTAAACTATATGCATTTAATACCAAACATCTTACTCTGTATCTTGTCCTGTTATGTCATCTACATGTCTTCAAAACTTTGTTATTTCTTGTAAAAATTTTATGTAACTTTATTTCACTTTAACTCAGATGAAAAATCTTCAAATATTTTTAATTTATAATATACCCATACATAAGTCTTTTCTTGAGCCTAGAAAGAATATTGATGATGTTTGCTGATTGCAAAAAATCTAGATAACATCACGGAAACTGCATTATGAATCTAAAAAGAGATTCTTTCAGAAAACATATGCTTTAAAATGTTAGACTACAAAAATATCAAATTGAAGCCAGCATGATGGCACACACCTTTAGTCTCAGCAGAGGCAGGTGGATCTCTGTAAGTTCAAGGCCAGCCTGTTCTACAGAGTGAGTTCCAGGACAGCCAGAGCTACACAGAGAAACCCTGTCTTGAAAAACCAAAAAAAAAAAAAAAAAAAAAAAAGAAAAAGTAGTTGCTATAGCCATAGAAATGAGCAAATTCATATCCTCTGATGGTGGAATCTGTGTTTAAAAAAAAAAAAAAGGTGTATGTGGGTGCACATACCAGAAGAAGGCATTGGTACCCTGGAGCTGGAATTCCAAGCAGTTGTGAGCCTCCACGTGGGTGCCGGTAACTGAAGTCTGGTGCTCTGCAGTATCCTCGAACTCTCTCCACTCTAAGGGTTCTCCAGTCCCTGAAATGTACCCCTTAATGAAAAGGGTTGCTTGAGTGACCCACTGGTTCTTAAGGCTGTCCTGTGGAGAGGCCATGAGTACCCCCTTCCCATGTTGGAAACACTCATCCCGTTGTGCTGTGCTGGCTGAGCCATAGCGAGGGGGCTTGACATTGCGCTGTGCTGCCTCACTTCAGGGTGAGAAGTGAGGCTCCTCCGAGGCCCTGTGCTCATGTGACTGGGAGGCTGCCCCACCCTAAGTTGTTGTGTTCTGCAGGCCAGGCCTGCCATTGCAACCTAGCTGAGCACTGTCCCCTCCTGTCCTAGCTTTTCCCACTGAGGCTCCGACTTCCTCACTGTCTTCACTCAGTCTCCTCCCCTGTCAAGGTCCTGGCAGTCTTAAGTCAGTCCCGTCTTTTGCTTGTGCACAGAGAGGCTTTATCTGTGCTGTGGTTTGGGGCCAGAGTCAGTGTCGGTGTGACAGGCGGGGTATAGACAGAGGACCTGGCAGCCTTAGAGCTGCTCCAAAGGAACTCATTATTTGAGGAAATTTACTTCACGTTTATCATGGTCAAAGTATCAACCAGGAGCCTTAGCCAATATTACAAGTTAAATAACTTCATAAGACTTGCAACATGAGAGGACTTTAAATGTCACCACATAAACTTGCACTAAATCTGGTGACTTGAATATTTTATTTTTGGAGTTCTATAACATATATATGCTAATCATGCTCCTCTTATTTTATTTTAATTTTTTTACAGATTTCCAAAATTGAAAATGTTAATCACTTGTCTGACTTGAGAGTTTTAAATCTTGCCAGGAACCTCTTGAGCCACGTCGACAATCTCAATGGTCTGGATTCACTGACTGAACTTAACCTTCGGCACAATCAGATCACCTTTGTGGTGAGTACCACTGTGGACCCCGTGCTGCTCTTCGAGGGAAGTGATGTAGACGTTCAGTATTCCACCCGCAATGCTGGAATCTGAAGTTATTTAGGCTTTTCTCAATTTAATTGTAAGTGTAATTATAAACCTTTGTAATATGTTGATCTGGAAAGCTGTTTTCTGTTTCAAAAGATACATATGAAATAAAAAATGGTAGAAACATTAGCTCTGAAGGAAGCGGCTGGTGTTTGCAGACACTGACTCCTCATCCCTTTGCTGTGGATACTGAATTAGAGAGGATTACAAAGGCTGTTGGTGAGTGACAGCTAAGGAATTGTGCTCCCAGGAGAGGCACAGAGCGAAAGGAACATATAGCAAGAGGCCTATATCTTCCCCTTGGAGGTGCGAAAGAGGCCTCTTGATGTAAAGGGAAGAGTGCAAGACCACAGAGGCCTGGTTCTGGCCTCAACTTTGCCTCTAATCAGTCATGTGACCCTGAATGAAACAATGGAACTTTCTGGGTCTGAGTTCAGATTTGTCTAAAGTGAAGTAATTGGGCTTTATTGTTGTTTGTGTCTCTTTTGGCTTGCTGACTCTAAAAAAGTACATGCCAACTTAGATTACTGTGTGAACAGAGTGGAGAGAGATACATGTAGGAACAAAACCTTTGCTCGAAGACCAACTTTGCCAGTGTTCTCAACCTGTGGACCCCCTTTGGAGGTCAAATGACCCTTTCCTGAATATCAGTTATTTACAATACGATTCATAACTAGCAAAATTACAGTTGTGAAGTAGCAACGAGCTAATTTCATGGTTGGGGTCACCGCAACATGAGGCACTGTGGAAAAGGGTCGCAGCATGGGGAAGGATGAGAACCACTGGGCTCAGCTGTTGTGCTGTGTTGGCTGTCATACCATTGGGGCTTACGTCATGGGGTGCTTTCCTTCTCACTTCACGACAAGAACTTGGGCTCCTACTGTGGCATCAGGAAGTGGGTTCAGTTCCCAGCACCCTCAGGCGCCTGCCCACCTCTGTAGAAGGACTTGATGGTTTTGCTGGAAGTAATCAGTTAAATAGGAGCTTGGGTTGGAGGCCTTACCTACTGATACAAAGGTGGAAGGTACTAGAAAGACACCTTCAGCTTTGTGGTGTGACACTGGCCAGCTGGGCTTGGCATTGTCATCATTTAAAAGTTTCCTTTGTTTCAACTCTGTAGAAAACTGCTTTTGGGGGTCTCTAAAAACGATGTCATTCAAGCACTTTCAGAGGCACACCCTAATGGAACCCCTTCGTTAGCACAGAATACAGTGTGTCCTCTGGAATGCAGACTGGGGGACAGATGATGTCTTGTTGCCAAGCTTCCCGCACAGATTGGTTTCACTTTGTCTTTTCCTGGAAGATCCAAGGCAGCCAGCACGCACGTCTTCTGGAAGGGCAGATACTTTCAGAGTCTTTTCTAAGACATGGGTTTATTCTAGAATTTCTGCGTTGTGTCAGGTCCTCCCCAGATTGGATGAAATATGGGAGTTGCCAAGTCCTCCCAGGTTGGAGAGAGTGGTGGGGTGGGGCTGTTTGCTTCCAAAGCTTCCAGATTGGATTGCGTTGCTGAATTGCTGAGTCTTCACCAGTTGCTCAGTCAGGACTCGGTCTGTCCTCAGGACACTGGGGTGGGAAGCACCAAAAAGGCTCCCTCAGCTGGGGGCATAATCTGTTGACCTGGCATGTTCCTGCCTGGATTTTGGCTTTCCCTTGGAAAGTGCCTGCTGCTCACCCAGGGACTCATGGATAGCCCTGGGGGTTGTCTCTGCTTGTCGCTGCAGAGCTGAGATGGCAACAGCATCTTGTGCTCTTGTGGAAAGGAAGCTGTCATGCATGTAGCACAGGAACTGAATACACGTGTAAGGGTGCATTAGGGTGTAGTTCAAATCAGTCTACGGGTACTCTAGTTTTTTTGGTTGTTGTTGTTGTTTTTCTTTTCTTTTTTGGAGGCACAGTCTTCCTGTGTAGCTCTGGTAGTCCTGGAGCACACACGGGTGTACCTGCCTGTGCCTGCTGAGGGCTGGGATTAAAGGTGAGCGCTACCACGCCTGGTATGCAACCTTTGCTTTCAAAATCCAAGACTTTAAAATCTGAGGTGACATATTTTTTTCTTCATTTTTTCCTGTCCTTCGAGTCAGTTATCATACTTATTCTTTGAGAGTTGGGGTGAGACAGGGTCTCATGGAGCCCACACTGACCTTTAAATTCTCTCTAGCCAAGGATTGACCCAACCCCAATGCTCCAGCCTCCACATCCCAGGCTTACAGGTGTACTCCACCATACCTGGCTTTTCCCCTATTTAATGGCTAGTGATTCTTTAAGATTTATTTTTTATTAATTTTAAATGTGAGTACAGATGCCGGAGGAGGCCAGAGCTGGAGGCGTCACATCTCTTTAGTGGGAGTTATGTTGGTCGTGAGCTGTCTGACATGGGTGCTTGGAACCAAACCCTGGTCCTCTGAGATTACATTCTCTGGACCACTCAGCCATCTCTCCAGCTCTGACTGGTAGTCTTTAGGAAAATGCTCTGCCACTGAAAGACCCCCAGCCCGTTGACTGCTAACTTTAAAATAGAAGCTCTTGTTGGGTAGTGGGTTGGTGTTTGAGCCCTTCTTTAAAGGGGCAGGGGCGTCTCTTCCTCAGCTGGTCGCTAGACTGTGTAACTTGTTGGACTGAACACACTGGATGTTCCTTCAGGATGAGTGTAAGCGAACCTGCTGGCGTACTTGGTAATTGCTGAAATAAAGATTCTACTTTGTGGGGTAGAGGACTTTGTTTTCTTCTGTTGTGGCCATTACTAACCATCTTCCTAGAAGAAGCGCCGTCTGGTTCCCACCCTACACTAGTGCTTGCTGATGAGAGAGCAGGTCTGGAGCGCCTGTGGAGAAGCCTTCTTTAGGGTCTTCTCTGGCTGCGTGTGTGTTTATGTGCAAGAGCAGTTGGTTCAGGAATTGCTGTTGGACAGGTGTTTAATCACACACACACCTGCTGTGTGTCATGATGCAGCCCAGGCCTGATCTTTGCTTGTCCTGACTGTGACTGCCATGGCCTCCCGTCACTGTGAACGGAGTCAAGTGCAGCCTCCCTCTGTCGTCCCCCATGCAGTCCCTCTGCTCAGGGTGATCTCTTGGGAAGTGCCGTCAGCCTTCCAAAGTTCACCTAAAATGTAGATCTGTCTGTGACAACGCTCCTGCTTTGTTGATTTCTGAGAATGTGCTCACCTTAGTGCGTTTCTATTGGGGAAGGGAACACGTTACTTGACCCTCGTGAACAGAAACTCTCGTGCATTCAGGGTCTCATGTTTGTTTGCCAGGCTTTTCTTGGAAACTGGCTCAGTGTCAAGCTAAATATCTTCTTAGTTTCCATGGTGTTGTTCCCTTTTACAAATTACAGCTTGGGTGTGGTACTAGGCCTATCCTCCCAGCTATTGGGAGGCTGACGAGGTTCACTGTGAGGTTAAGTACAGCTCGGCTACATGGTGGGTTCTAGATCAGCATGAGCTAGAGTGAGGCTTGACAGGAATCATTCAGCAGTGAAATGAGCTAATTCAAGACAAGTTAAAGTGTCTTGAATTCAATGCAGGTTTATTGGGAGCAGCTGTTAATGGGCTCACTGGTCCTGAAGAATGGTGCCTGAAGAGAAGTCACCGTGCAGGGGGAGACAGAACAGTGCACATGCAGAGAGAGAGGGAGAGAGAGAAGAGAGAAAAGAAATGCAGAAAGAAGAGGGGGGAACAAAATGTCTGGTTTATGTAGTGAACAGCCTCTGGGGAGGGGAAACTCCCCCCCCCCCTCAGCTGGCTGGAGAGTTCAGACTAGAGGGCAGGGTATGCCAGCCACACCTTATAGCAGGGAGGGACAGAGGAATGCTGGGAGAACCTGGAGGTCAGGTCTGCCTTGCTTCAAAGGCACCTCAGCTGTTCTTCCAGGGTCCGGAGCCCAACACTTCACCTATTAAAATTTCTATTGAGACTCTGTCACCAGTGTGGAAGGCTTGGGAGGCAGGGAGTGAGTTGGGAAATAGAAGTAACTTCTCTAGAGGAGAGGCCTGCAGGAGCCTGTTGCCCCTTTGTCCTGTGAGGAAATGTGGCAGAAGCCTTTAAGTGAAGGCCCCTCGCTAGACACTCAACTCGATGGTTCTGTCCTTCACTGATTTAGGAGAACCTTTAGCACAAGGCCGAACGAAGCGAAAGGGCAAGTGGATTCTTGGATTATTCCTGATGTAAAGAACATCTGTCACCAGGTACATTCATTGTCTGGCTGTTGGTGGCTGGTCTGGTGCTGTGTATTCTAACGCTAATTACTGGCTCCCAAGGTCCACTGCCACCCAGAGGTGTTCTCACATACAACGATGTGGCGTACTTGACTTTACGTGGCTTTGCTCATCAGTACTCCCTGACTGGCTAAATAAAGTAGCTGACGGCCTATAGCTGGGCAAAAGAGAGGTAGGCGGAGTTTAGGTTCCCAGGCTGGGCGTCTAAGAGGGACCACAAGGCTGGGAGGAGAAGGAGGAGGGAGAAGAGAGAGAAGGAGCTCTGGACTGGAAGTGGCCAAGAGAAGTTGTCCCTAAGGACAGATTGATGGAGCAGAAGCTGCCTGGGAGTCATCAGATTGGCAAGTGACGGACATTTATGTGCATTGTAAGGGTTAGGGTTAGAAGAGCTCTGAACCTGCCCAGCTTAGTGCATACAGCTTAATAATAAGTCATAGTCTCTCTGGGTCAGTCATTGGGGAACCGGCTGCTTAAAGCAAACTGCGGCCATCTTGCCCTCCTGCATACATTAATGTTATGGATCATTTTACAGCTGGCGTTTATCAGTATGAAAGTGTGTGTGGTGTGTGCATGTGCCTGTGTGAGTACAGTGCCCATCCGTGTGCATGCAGAGCCGACCAGGACTTGAGCGCCCTTGCACTCACACCCCGGCCGTGCTGCCTTGATGGAGATACAGGTATGTGCAACCATGCCGGCGTTTTCTGTTG